CACTACTTGCCGCTGAATGGCTGCAAATTTAGACCTACACTTGGTACTCAGGGCAAATTAGCAATGAGGAATCTTTTTCGTCCACGTTTCGCAGTGGGATTCAAACCCACAACGTAAGAATCAACTCTCCAAAGCAAACGCCACGCGGGTGACTTAAGTATATTTTAAGAAATAAAAACAATATTTTCTTAGAAATATCTTTCAACGATTTTTTATAATGTAGGTTTATATGTTTTCTAGATAAACAGAGTTGTTGAGACATCAATTCGTAGCTAATAAAACTTATACAACTATACTAAAATCTTATGTTAAACGATGAAAACACTCTCTTAAACCAGACCAGGTCTCAGTCTCCAAACAATCTATTGGAATACCCATTGGTACCAATTGCGCTCCGTTATTAGAAGACTTATTTTTGTATTCTTATAAAGCAGAATTTGTGCAAAATCTCATGAGTGAAAAGAAGAAAACGCTTGCTGTGGCCTTCGACACTCGACATTTATATATATCGACGACGAATTGTCAATTAACTATTGTAATTTTCATTTCTATGCCGTTACGATATATCCTCGTGAGCTTGAGATAAAAGATACCACAGAGTCTGACAAATCTCTTTCATACTTGGATATTTTACTTGAAAAAGGCGTTAATGGAAATCGAACAACCAAGCTCTACGATAAACGTGATGACTGTAACATATATAAATCGGTTATAACTCATACTTATCAACAACATTGATGTAAGTGAAACAATTTATGCGAGTCACATGTTAGAATCTAGAGAGAAAACGTACGGAAATATTATTGGGGACAGAATAACTGACGTGTAAGCAACTGGAAACACAGAGAGATGGAGATGCATATCTAAATTATCTAGAGATACAGCAATTGAGAGTTATTAACAAACATAATTAACAAACATTATTCATTATTGATTATGTCAAACAAAATAACGCGTTGTGTTTGCCAAAATCAATAGTCAAAATCAGGTAATAGAGATTTAACTTTTTACAAGATCTTTATAAGGTAGTTGGTTCCTGTCACTATTTGCATTTGATAACTGTACGCCTTCAGAGATGGAGTAACTGGTCCACTTTGGTAGCAACCGAGGGGTAGAAGCTTGTAGATTTCTCCATAGTGCTGAAGTGTTTTAAACAGTAAAAAGCGAATAATTATTATCAGTATAGTTTACTGCAGTAGATACCAAATATGATTTAACAACATTTTTATATTTAAAATAAGATAAAAAAAAATTAGACCGACACTTGATTATATTCGTGCCATACAATGAATACTGAGAAATCAAAATTTTCAAGGGGGTTTAATTTTTCTTTGTTTTCGAGGTATGAGTAGACCCATGAATTCATGTCCACCACGAGTGCAGATGTTACATACATAATTACTCGACAATTCTTGATGCACGAATTCAAATCTCCACAAACAAAGAGTTTTTACTCAAACCACGAAATTTGACCCCACGAAAATACGTGACTTTACCGTAGTATTTAAAATTATTAGAATATGTCATGAAAATAAAATGTTCGTCAAAGAATCTTACGTTTGATTGCTTATCCAAGTGAGAGATCGTAATTTATAAGCAAACATTTTATTTTGTTAACCAATGCTTGTATACTTGGGTTTACAGGAATTTTTAACCATAGACAGCATAGACTGCAGAGTCAGCAAAACCTGCTTAAGAAAGGAACACAAAGAAACAAACCTTGGTGGACACCATAATTCAATTTGATTTTAATGATATACTGACCAATATAATTAATAATGGCCATATATGTCTGTAATTTGTAACAGATGATCTTGATTTCTCTGTCAAATTATACTGATTAATATTGATCTGAACTTCTGTTGTGCCCTAAGGTTGGTCTGCTTTATTTATTGTTTCAATAGAGATAACCCACAAAGATGATTGATGATATTTCCTACATATAACGATAACCGTAAATCAGAGTCATATGCCCCAAATTTATGGAGCCCTGTGCAAATTAAATTGCAAAAATATATTACAAAATTACCAGAATTATAATTTTGCTATGGAAACTGTTCCTTAAAAAGGGGCTGTAAATGAAGAGGAAAATAAAGAAGTTAATAAAAATAAGAATAAGCAAAATAACCATTGATTAATTTCACTACTGTTTTGCTTTTTATTTTAATCTTCAACTTAAATGAAAAAGAAATACACTGATCATTCATGACTTATTTAAAAATCAAAACAAAAATTGGGGGTCAATACGGTTCTTTTGGAGCTACAGTACATTTAATATGACCTTGTTGCACTAAAACTTGTGTCTCACAAAGCTCAAATCTTCGACGTTTTCTCTCCAATGCGTTCATCCAAATAAATAATTGGACAAGATAAGCTATTAATCTATTTAAAAATAGACACTTTGAAACGAGACTAAAATAAGTTTTTAATTGCTTTGCATTATCAGTAATTTAACCTTTTAGCACTAACAAAATGTAAATTTTTCTGGAATTGAAAATTTAATAAGCACAAAAATTATTTTTTAAGTCTTAAACTGTTGCTCAATTCAAGCAAACTAATCAAAGATATCTTATACTCGTATATTCATAAAAAGAACACTGAAGTAGGGGTCTATTATGTTTTTAAAATATTACTTAAGAATTGTTTTTTATGCTATAATTTGTTTCCTGGACATTCTACGAGGGCTATTTGATAAATAATGTCCTCGGTGCTCAGAAAGACGCAAACGACGCTTTTCAATGATTTAGTCTTCATGAGTTTACTTATTAATCTCTTTTAATTCAAACACATGTCTGTAACATTTTTTATCCAATTTCTGATTGTTTTTAGAACTCATCTTTGGATATGATCCTTAGTATACTGGAAAATGGCAGATCCAATGATTTTCTGGACTTGTTTTTTGCTTCTAAAAGGTGTTTTTTTTTCAAGTTTGGAAAAAGAACCAAGTCAAAAGGTCAAAGATCTGGCAAATATTATTAATGTGAAAAAACATTAACTTTCTGTCTATCTCGAAAACCCCTTTACTCTTCAGGGCATGTGGGTTTGGACGCTGTCATGAAGAAATTCAATGTAGTGGATTCCTGATTCTGGGTCCTTGCTCTAATAAACCTTTCGATCTTTCTGCAAAAAAATTGCTTTCTAGACTCCACCAGATATTAACTGTCTCTCCGAATACGAATTTGAACAACAATACCACTAATATTTAAGAAAATTGCATATAAATATGTCTTTGTGCTCTTGCATACCTTTGCTTTTGTTAGACCTTCGCAGTTTTTATCAAGTACATCTTATTGTAAATTTTGTTTTGATGATTTTAAGCAATGGATTCGTGTTCCAATATCTGTTTAGATATAAAACAAACGTGGATAACTACAATTACTTATATTTTAAAATAATTGTTAAGACTTTCGTACACGCTGTCGTTTTCACTCATTTTTCAAAATATAGGGTGACCTTTGAGTACCAAGCTTTTTTACTGTCAAACGTTTCTTAAAAACAGTGTAAATTACTCCCGATATGATGTCAGTCAAATTTGCTATGTGTCTTAAAGTCATTCATACATGATCAAATATTATTTGTTGAAATTTGGCAAACAGTACATAAATTGTTATAATTTTTGTTGGCAAGGAGGGTACGCATTTTTGATGCCCATTATATGATTTTTTATCATTTGAAATCCACCTGCCCATTTGTCCATAAAACAGACATCGGTTGCTGTAAATGACACATATCTTAGTGAATATTTCTTTGGGATTTTTAACAAGTTTTACAGCAGCTTTAATGTAGCCTTTATTTTCACTCTAGTTTACTGATTCTTTACCATTCATTTATAATGCAGTGTCTCAAATAGCCCTTGTTTCCCAGCTTCTCACGATGAAACTATGTGATGAAAAGTGGTCACATAAACTGTTATAAATTCAGTAAAGATTCAATAATGAGAGAAAGTCAAGTTTAATGTCATATGATATCTGTATTGTATGTCATACAGTTCAGGACATTATTTATTGAACAGCCCTCGTAAATACGTAGTATATTTTTATTACAATATAATAAAAAAAATAATAAGAAATAGCTACATAGATATTTCAGAACCAGCATGAAACATTTTAATGCAAAAAAGTATTGTATACAACCAGTATAGAAATCTAACTGAAAATTGCTGTTTATATTTCAAATGGAAAAAAAGATCATTTGCCTCTGAAAAACATTCCAACACAAAATATAGTTCCTGGCTTAATCCTATTTGAGTAGAATCTAATGACAGGTTTAATGTTAAAATTTAAAAATGCTTCAGAATTTTTTAAATTAAGTTCCAGATCGAAGTCTGCTCAAAAGCACAAGTTCGAACCTTCTCAAATGAAACTTGCTCTACCCCAATTTATTCATTATAACTTATACGGCGTTTGCTGAACTTATTTAAAGTTAGCTACACAATCCGCATCAGTAAACAGATAACCGTTATCTTTTCTATGATTCCTTGTTTTCCTTGTTTCTGTGCTTGACAGAAACTTTTTATTTTAAAAGGAACAATTCTATGAAAAATTTTATTGGATGCACGATCGAATATCAATATCTCTTTGTTGCCTTTCTTTGGATGGTGCCTTTTGTATTTCATATTTATATATAGATTTGGTTTTTTTTTTTGGTATACCTTAAGGTTTTTTTTTCATGTGATTTTGATTTTAATCATATAAACGGTGGTTGCTTTGTCTTTTATAAATTTATTAGATCTTTACAGGTCAAAAAACATGAAAAAAAATTATGGTTTACTAATGATTCTTGGAATTCTGGACAAACATACCTAAAATAAAGATCGAGGAATAAATTTTGAAAACATTCTTATCCTAGTAAATCAAAAATTTAAGGTTAAAAGTGCATTTATCCTCAATTTGCCACATGTTGACATCAGACACGTTCTATAAATAGGGACGAGTTTTTGTTTGTTTATAAATCGTACACCATGAACCGACTGCATATATTTTCTTTGAGCCTCGTTTTGGCTAGCTTCTCTCAGACTTCATATGTCACAAATGGTTTTAAAACAGGTGGTCTTGAAGAACAGAAATTTGCTACACCAGGAGTGCAAGCCTTGGTACAGGCAGTAAGTTAATTTTAACATAGATATCTTTATATCATTTCGATTAATTTTAAAAATGGATCACTACCTTTATTATTTTTCATTTAATTTGATGAAGAAAATATTTTTCAGTTCATTTTAAAAATTTACAAAAAAAATGTTATCTGCATATGGGTGACAACGTACGGACAGTATTAACATATAAATGAATACAATCCCAAATTAAAGCTTTGTCTTACTCATCACAAAACTTTGAGGAATTCCAAAACTAAATTAAAATACAGTTATCTATACACAATATTGACGACGCATTTTCCCGTTATTTCCCAATCATGCCAAGGAGCACACGGTAAGACCGGTTGGCAGGGGATACTCATTCCCCTCCGTGGCACCTGATCCCACCTCTAATGTTTTGAAGGTTCGTGTTTGCTCTGCTCCTATTTTGCATTGTTTTTTGGACTTTTTATCTGTAATTTTGTTCGTTATCTACATATGTTTCATACAGAACCCTATGATGACGGCGAATTTAAGACAGAATACTGTATGTTAATTTTTCGTAATTTTTTATTCTCAATTTTGTGCATTTACTTTTAATACTATCCGATAAAAAATTTTGAAAATGTGAAACTTACTTTTGAGCGATAAATACATTTCAGAATCGTGGAGATATTATTCGAATGCTTCCTTATGATATACTGAAACCTATTGGACAAATGAAAGCTTTGGTATTTAGAGAACAGCTCGTCGCGGGGACTAACTACTTTATCAAGGTATTTATCATAAAAGGACGAAAATCTATTAAAGAATCACAAAATTACAATATTTCTAAACCTTTGTTGGTCTTTTTTTTTTACCACAAAAGATACACAATCACCCTAAATTCAAATTCTATACTAATAAAATTGTAACTAACAAAATGACCGCATTAACTTTCATTTCCGTTAACATTTATTCTTTATGAAAATGTGGATATATATAGCTATAAATGAAAATAAATATAAAAACCGATTAATTATATCTTATTCTCAAACATGATACATTTATTGACTGAGTTCGAGGGCAACATGCGTTTTGTCTTAGGCTATTTGCCTCAGGTCGTTAGGCTAAAACAGAATGTTTTGTTATACCTTTTTAAAAAATATTTTTTGACACACATACGTCTCGTACTGTTCTCCGTGACGTAAACCTCAGGTTCGTCACTGTTAAACGTCAACGAATGTAAATGAGATTAAGCTCCGCCTATTCTGTGACGTAAGTGGTCTAACACCTAATCGTCAGGCTCAACATCTCACTCAGCGGTCAAACATCCTTTTTTATGCCCGCTCAGTAATTATAAAACATTACGACTGTTAGACTTTTTTCGTATAGATTAGGAATAAATTTTGAAAGGTATAGCAACATATTTTATATCCGTCAAAAATGATCTTTTAATAATCAGGTAAAATTAGGAGGAGGACGCGGTCGGCGACCCCAGTTCATACACGTCAGAATCTATGCTGACCTGAAAAACAAGAGCAGAGTGGACGATGTCAAATTTGCCAACCAATACGACCCCATTGATTTCTTCTAGAGATTGAAAAGATGGACTTAGCTCTTTGTCAACTAGTATGACCCCATTGAATTCTTCTAGAGATTGAAAAGATGTCGTTTATATTACAAAGCATTCAGTTGAAATAAATTATTGTTACAAATATGAAAGACTGTGTGTTATCTTAAGCTTAATGCAAGTGTCGAAAAGCTGAACATTTAGTTGAAAACTCCCTTAAAAATGAAGACTCTTATAGATCAATAAAATGAAAATTATGAATTTTAAGATAGATGGACAAACTTCGAACAACATGAACAATGCCTAGGGTTCCTTAATTATAACAGTAAGTAAGTAAATATTTTATCATTGTAAAAAGTGTATACAGTTTATCAATACAACAATACATTACCAAGATAACAATACATTACAGCCTGACCATTGGACATAATGTCACTTTAGTATACGTGTACAGTATTTCCAATTTCAAAAGAGAGTACGCATCATTTTAATTTGATGTGCATAAATCTGTTTGTCTTATTGAAAGCATGAAATTAAAGAGTGGAAGTTTGTCTTTGGTTATTTTTCATTAAAGCATTTAAATCATCCTCGGATGTCAATCGTTACAAAAGGACTCGTCCATTTCTTTAAAATTGAGAAAACAATGTTCTATGCATTTAATATTATAAGACATCCATGCCTTGAGACTAAGCAAGGAGAGTTATGCTGCAATAGATATATATACTGAGCTTAAGAGAGGAGAAAGTGAGAAACCTCCTGTAGCTTCTACAAAATTTTAAAAATAGTGTGTAAACGACAGTCAACGTTTGGATTAAGGACAGATGATAAAAATACACTTTATCAAAAAATCCTGAAAAAAAAATCAATGTTTGCAATTTTACATAAGTAAAAAAATTAAGTATAACCTTATTATTTTTACATATATATTTGTCACATTATTTACAAGTTACAACCAAAATAGGTAAAAAATATATACCAATCCAGGCATCCATTTTTGTGTCTGCGTCGTCTGTCCTTAATAATAGACTGTATTTTATGACAAGGTTATTTTATAGACCATAAAACAAAACTGATGAAATCCTTGTTTCATAACTATGTTTACCAAAAGCTTGTCTCGCTTAGAAATGGTTCATACGTAGAGTATGATTTTGTGTTATAAAGCACATATGGATGATGTGTCAAGGGTAATTTGCTACATGACGAATGAAAAATATAATAGTTTAGAACATAACCTACTTATTCAGCCAGTCAAATGCTTCCATTCCTCGCGAAGAATTGATTCTTCATGGTGAAGAATTCTTCTATATCTGAAAAAGTCAACGGTGTCTGATTGGTTCACTTGACAGTTAAATGGGTGTGTCTTCATTGGTCTTTGTTCAACACACAAAAAGAAACTTTTCAAAACCCACGTGCTGTTTATAATGATATTTAAACTTTCTAAGCCTTGCTACACTTTTTCCCCCACTGTAATCTTTTGTCGCCTTTCTGAATATTATTTTTTTCACATTTCGGTACATACAGAAAATACAACCATCGTCATGTATATCAGAGACGAACATTGTCTTTGAAGACAGATTTTAATCACAATTTTCAACAATGATCTTTTAATAATCAGGTAAAATTAGACAAATTTTTATTTGATACTAGACAGCGATACCCTTTCCTGCTGACTAGGGCCTTGTCATCTTAACACAATCATTTTTCAAAAATATAGATATTACGATTCTTGTTACATGGGTATTCATTTAGTTCCAGTAACTTTAATATCTTCACCATACCATTTCCCCAGTAAATCAAGCTATTTCATATAATCTCGTGCTAACCTGACTGGGTTGGGAGTCCATTCTGAAACCGCGTGTGTTCGATATTGATAACGTGCTCGATATGTACAACGGAGGGTAAAGTTGAGCATTATATATGTCACAGTCGTAGGAGGATTTTTTTTTAATCCATTCATTTCATTGGCGGAGGTTCTGTACTAAGTCAGTAAGATCATATTAAGAGAAATCTTCGTCAGAAGAATGGGCTCCGCTTCGCTCCGCCCATTCTTCATGACGAAGATTTCTCTTCATATGATCTTACTATTACATAATATCCAAAAGCAAAACAGATGTGTCAGATTTTGAGGTACCTTTTATTCAAACTCAATGGGATATACAGAGCCGATATATGGACTACAATTGTATTGTTAATTGATATTCGTCGAAATATCAAAATGTCACGTTGAAGGCAAATTTCGAAGCCAAAAGTTTAAATATGTTTTCTTATATCCCCCCCCCCCCCCCCCCCCCCCAGTCGCTTAATACCGGTATGAGATTTCACCATCTATCTGATTTATCTAATCCCTTCTGACACTGCGCTATGCTGTCTTTTTCATCTTCTGTCCAACTTCTGGTGACATATTCTACAGAATCCATTTTATTTATGAAATAATGACGAAAGTGTAGAGATCAGGGTGTTACTTAACTTAAGACCTCTTATAATAAGTGATTGAAGGCTTATTTTAATCCCAGATAAAACTGTGTCCAGCAAAACTACATGTATAGTTGCAGATTGAAGGAAAACATAAATATGTTGGATAAATATCCTTCAAAAGTTCGATATCTAAGCTTTGTGGATATTTGTTTTTATTTTAAAAAAGTTTGGAAGATAGTGTCGATAACTGACTAATGAATTAAATGTAAAACACCTGCACCGCAAAACGGAGTATCTCCTCGCAGAAGAACAATAAATCAAGGCAACATTTAAGATCGATTCCGTAACTTCAGTTACAAACACACGGACAAACTATGCCTTACACAACGTCTCTCCACTACGAGGGGAATAATTAAGATCACAGGGTTTAATTGCATTTCATTATTAGAAATATATATTTTGATGCCTGTCCGTTTAAGTGATTTTTATGGCACGCCAAATTCACAAAAATGAGCTAAACATAGTTTCACAGTCGATAAACTAAGTTTATCGGTTGTAAACTATAGTTTACGGACTGTAAACTATAGTTAACAACGTTAATTTATATTTTACATCGTAAACCATAGTTAACGCGATAATCTATATTTCACAACCGTAAACTATACTTAACACTGAAAACAATCATTTGCGATTTCAAAACATAGATTATCTGATAAATACAGTTTCACGATTTGTAAACTATAGTTTACAAACCGTTAACTATAGTTAACGATCTGATAAATATAGTTTCACGATTTGTGAAACTATGATTAACAACTCTTAACTATAGTTTACAATTGTAAACTATAGTCTACAAACGTGAATCTATGTTTATCAACAAAATCTATTGTTAACGCTTATTACAGAAAGATAAACTTAGATTATTAAACTATAGTTAACAACCGTTAAATATAGTTTTACAGATGAAAACTATACTTAACGAATCGTTAACTATACTTAACGAATCGTTAACTATACATAACGAATCGTTAACTATAGTTTACGGTTTGTAAACTATAGTTTACGGTTTGTAAACTATAGTTTACAGTCGATAAACCTAGTTTATCAATTGTGAAACTAGGTTTATCTCATTTTTGTGAATTTGGCGTGCCATAGATTTTGGTACAAACAATATGCTTAACGTTTAAAGTACGAAGTACAATCCATTTATTTTATTCAAATTTACCTATAGTCCTCGGTCAATGCCAGAATTTCCCAAACACCGAACGATGACATGTTAAAGCCATTGGCCGTAATACAATAGATATTATCATCAATATTGTACAAAATGAGACGTTTGACCTTTTATCGTCATGAAATGCCATAAAACTCATTCCCTTATAATTTTACAATTTGCATTTCGTGTTGCTGATATGCTTTCATCTAGTATTGATTGCGGCAGTTTTAGGATACATAGGAGGACATACCTAGTGGTGCAGTTCATTAAGTCGTGTTTGACCAAGCTCTTTTGAGAATTGTAATGCCAGACAGTGGTGAAGATATCAGAATTAATCTCGGGTTGGTATTTTACGACATATAGTCAGCAGGTCCCCATGTGAACAGTTGACGATTGAATAATTAAAATTGCTGTTTTTTAAATACGTAGAAAAAAGAACCTTTTTCACTTTGAGATATATTCATGGATATTAATCATATTATCTGTTGTTTTCTTTTTTTTCACTTCCAATATTAATCAACTTAAAATGCAAATATATTTGCAGTATATATTAATTGCACAGAACACAAAATTACATTCCAAAGTTTGGAGTGATCCGTCTGGTCAATTTCAGATGAGTTTCCTGATCGAAGTAAATTAATATTTACAATAACTAATCTAGGAAACACCTCAATCTCATTTACTAATAGTTATTTTCTCTAACGACTTAAATAAAACTCAGATTCGATGTGCAGTAGTTGTTGACAAAAATAGAATAATAGACTTCCTGTAAAAATCAATAAAGCGTCTACAGGAGGGGATGATGCACACAGCCCTTGTGTTGTGACATCTCTATTGTTTGTCTCGCTCCACAGGAGAAGTTTTACAAGTAGGTAAATGTTATCTATAATTGCTTGCTGTTAAAGTATAACTAGAATAGAAATTAATAATCTGTTTTATTACGAAAGGCAGTAAGCAAGAATTATTTGCTAAAATAACTTTTAAAATGCTGTTCTAATTTTCATGTTGTTGGACCAGTTGTATATTCCAATAAATGGACACTAAAGAAAAGGAATATAACTAGAACTGTTTATGCAAAAAAGAACATTCATTTCTATCAAAAGGATAAATAAAAGATTCCTTCTCCTACACATTCCTATTATAAAAATAAACATATGAATCTAATTTATTATTGCTCTTCTTTCAAGCAAAAACAATTTTTTAGAGGAAGAGGGATATTTCCCGTTTGTTTCTTTTGTAATTGATTTTATGTATTTCGTGACAGAAATAGTATAAGATCCTATTGCGTAAATTGAATGATTTGCATGTACAGGGATTATAGTGTGGAATGGTTGCGTAAAGTGGAAAAGTCGTAAGTTATTAAGTTGTTGATTTAGGAAAATCTTGTGATTTCAAATTGTCCTAAAGTTCAACAGAAATTTGGAGTATCCACATCTGATTTACACCACTTCTCAAATATATTGTTGCACAGTACTCTT